CGTTCAAAGTCCTTGCAGGCTTAAATTCATTCAAATCAGTATTGTACTTCTTGTAAGTACTTGGCCTTCGGTTCATTTTGCCGTGCTCAAAAACAATCTTCGAGTAAGAAGCTTTCGGAATTACGAGTTAGTTGTTGTTTACATCGGTGGCCTACTGGTACGAAGCTTCGCCAACAACCGCACTGAAAAGCAAACTACTGCGTTTACTGGAAAAACATAAAATACAAGTGCAACGTAACTATTCGCGTGATTTTCACTCTGTAAAAATTTTGAATTATTGAAATTTGATGTGATAAATGAACTAGAGAAGAAAATATGAGTTGAGAAATTTCTCCCAGGTTGGAGACACCTGTGCGTCTATGCTGCCAACCCAACGTCTTTCATTAGAGGAAATGTTACAATACTTATCACGCTGTCAGCTAGGTGACAATCCGTCTTACGTCTAATTTGTTTCAAATATTTTGACCGAAACAATATTTATCTTCAAGTGACACGGAATTGGTGCAGCTGGATAAATGGTCTGAGAGTGTGGCGAACTTGCCCACCCTGTAGCCACCTAATGCGCGTCCTGGCGTCGTGAGGACGCTACCAGTTCCCGCGTATCAGAGAGCCTGCGCTTTATAGTGGTTTTAGAGCACCTGCTCGCGTCTCACCTGGCTCACCTTGGCGCCAATCATCCCCACCACCTACATGAACATGACGACCGCGGACTTCAACGTGCTGCGTCGGACGGCGCCAAGTGCTGACCCCGACAACGACAAGTGCATGTCCGTGGCGTTTCATGGCGCGGAGGCCGGCAATTTTGGTGTTGTTTTCCAATCTTGGGTAGCCGACGAGGTTAAACAAATTCTTGAAGGACAGGAACTGGTCATTTTCCGGCCAGAAGACTTCCACTGTTATCAATTACCAGTAATAAAAAGACTAAAAGTCAATTCCAACATTCAACTTGGAAGCGCATAACAGTGACTGTGCGCAATTTAGGGGGTGAGTTTCCTTCTCCATTCTTTCGTTACAGCTCTTTGGTTCTGGACTAATTCATTGCCTCCATGATTTTTAGAATATAAATTGATGGTGCCCAAGTGCGCAGTCCTCAGACAAACCAAGGGTGAGACCTCTGAGCTGGATGCCTCTGGTCGAAGACAGCTCAAGAAGAAGTTCTCTGACGACATGGTGGACACGACCAAGAAGATGAACCACGATGAGGGAAGCAAATCATGCCCATCAAAGAAGAGGCGCAAAAATGGTGAGGCGCCTAAATCCAAACTAAGTAGCAAACCTTCTTCTGCACTGGTCTCTTCAATCTTGATCCCAAAGCAGCAGGATTCTGCAGACCATGTGGAGGTGAGTTCACGACCAACCTAAAAGTATTTTGTCTTTGCCTGTTCCTCTCAAAATACTGCCATTAAGGAGGCGAATGTTTCAGGTTGAGTATGATTCTGAAGGCAAAGCAACCACAACACCGTCGTTGCACCAGGGGCTGCTGCTAGTGGCATAGACTTGATGTCACAAAGTGACCTAGCCGAGCTGTGTAAGAGGCTTCTCGCTGAAAATGAGAGGCTGACGCAGGAACTGGACAAGGCAGAAATTATAATAAAAATGTCTACTGGTAATTATACATAATTGTGAAACACCTCAGTCACCCAGTCGATCAAATAAGTTACAGCAATTTGTTCTTGCCTGTCCAGCTCTTCAAGGCCTTAATCAACAGCTTGAGGCCATTCTGCGAAATGTAAGTGATGCAGAGGTGGCTTCCTCCAACTTGCTTGCCAGACAGCGAAGCAGGAGCAGTTTCATGACGGTCAAGCCCAAGAAGCAAGTTCTGAAACAGGTAATTAATTAACATCGAAGAAATCATGGTTTATCACATGTTGTTCAGAACTGTAATGATTGCTTTATATTTTGCAGAAGGAAAATGTTGACCCCTCTGTGTGGGTTAATTCAGATGCCCTTGATCTCAACTCGTCAGAGGTATGCATGCCTGAATTTCTAAACCACCATATATTGTTTTCAGAATTTTTCAGGAGTCTTTGAGTAATTTACTTGTACATACTTACATACTTGTAGCATCAGATGCTCTACTCAGTACATGCTAGTGCAGTTATTCCATGTGAGACACAAGAAGATGTTGACCACAGTACTGTCTTGCTGGTACAGGCACATAATATTTTCATGGCATTAACATTCCAAGTATGCTCTTCCCAAAAATATAAACATGTTCTGTTTTACAGGGGTCAAAACTACGCCTGGCCAGTCCTGACATGTTTCTTGATGAGGTCGATGGCAGTCACATGGCATTGCATTCCACCATGTCATTTTCTAATAATGAAGTGGTAGAGCAGCAGGTATTGATTCATCCAATTAAGGTAAATTTGATTTTTGGTGGTTTCTATACTGACTGCTTTACAAATTTTATTGACAGGTCAACCTCGTGAGACAGCTTCTGATTCAGGTATGTACACTGTTAAAATTAGTATTGTAAATTTACGATACCTGTATCGTAAACTTTCATAGCGACAAGTGTTGTTATATTACAACACTCTTGTCAGAAAAAAATCGTTATTTTGCGGTAATGTTGTTAAAAAAATTTTTTTCTTAAGATCAGGGATAGGGTCTTGACTATTTCTGTATGGTTTACAACTGTGTCGTCAAATTACAACATTCTTGTGAACATACAAACAATATCGTTTAGAAACGACTCGGTCCTGTTTCTCAACAAATAAATCGTTATTTTACAGAAGAAAAAATCGACTAATATTCTTAAATTTCAATTTTCTTTTCATCAAAACTGAGAAAACAACTCATTTTTATTTCTTTCTGTAAAATAACGATTTGTTCGTTGAGAAACATTTTCTTTCGTTTTAAAACAATGAGTTCGTTCTAATACGATACCAATGTAGTTTTGCCTAAGAATGAATCTTTCCATCAACAAACGGATTTGTCGTACTAAAACAAGCTTACTGTTAATTAACGTTGCTTTCGTTTTCTGTTGAAACAACAATGTTGTTTTTAAACGACAAATTTCTTACAAAATTTGTCGTAATTTTACAACTTTTTTTAACAGTGTACTTTACTTCCTACTCGCACATTTTCCAGGTATCTGATATTAGAAAGGGTTCATTATATTTGTTACTATTATGACTCCGTTTTTTGCAGCTGGTGTGACTAGGGTGCAGCTGGTGTGACTAGGGTGTCGCCTAACGATGCATTGGCATGACGATGATGCAGTTAAGCAGCTAATACATTTGAGAAAGAATGAACTACTGCCTTTGTTTGAGAGCACTACTGTGTCAAACATCAGGAAAGGGCAGAAGCTTCCCCTGATTCTTGCTTCTAAAAAGCTGAACAACAAGTACTGGTCATTCACATGGAAGCAATGTGAAAGTAAGTGAAAGGATTTGCAGAAAATTTACAACAGAGTGAAGGACAAAATGGGTGCTAAAGGCACTGGTGAAACACCAGTGCGATTAAGATTTTTCGACGAGATGGATGAGGTGGGCAAGAATAGCCCCACCGTAAAACCCCTTTCCACTGCCATCAATACGTATTATCCTATGTCGCCAAACAGTGACTCCAGTTCTGCTTCATCGAATAGTATTGGTTCTTTTGATGAACCTCCCAAGAAGAAGACGAAGCTTGAAAAGAAATTTTAGGTGCTTCAAGAAGCTATTCACAACAAAGAAGAGGAAAAGAAGGCTGCCAGAGAACAGCGCCACCAGGAGATTATGAAAGTGCAGTTGGAGTCTTTTGAGGTGTACAAGGATATAATAAGAGAATGCAGAGTTTCTCTAATGAAATGATCGGGTTCCCATCCGGATGGGTTCGCAATAGGTTCTGCAATGTAACGAAAGAAATGCAATCAAACGAAGGTCACATGTTAGCGCCGACCAATGAGAAGTCGCTACCGCTGGCCGCACAGGGGGAACAGTCCCGCATCCAGCGACCGGGGAGAGGAAGAGGAAGGGAAGTGCTTCGGTGTTCACACTGTTGTTGTTATTTGTGTATCTTCGGCGGCAATAGTTTTTGGTAGTTTCGTTGAATTCCGTTTATTTTCAGTGTTTTCAGTTTTAGTTCTAAGTAGTACAAGTTGTTTAAGGCCCGTCTACAATGGGGTGGAGTAAGGCTGTGGGGAGTAAAGGAGTAAGGCGGCCGCGCTACTCCACCATGTCTACAACGAGAGAGCGTAAGAGTAGGCTCCAGCCAATCAGAATTGAGGTCGTTTCGGTTCTGAGCAAGGCGGTGCTGCATTTCAGAGTCTTGTCTTCTGCTGTCGCGCGAACAACACACATCACAACACAACATGCATCCACGGCTCTTAGGGTCAATTTTAGTGTTATTAATGGCGCTGCACACCAATATTATAACTCAATACACTGCGTGGAGACGTCTCAGGCGTATGCCACATCGGCGTTGGTGGGTGCGCCCCGAAAACGAGTCTCGGAACACGAAGGGCATGTACAATAACTTAATTGATGAGCTGCTAGAAACGGATCATGAAGAGTTTTTCAGCCTATTTCGCATGTGGCCACAGCAATTTCAACTACTTGCGTGGACACGGTTGATCCCTTTCTGAAGAAAAATAGCCTTCGGGAACCCTTGCCTACTAAACTCAGGGTAGCTGTGACTGTGATGTAAGTAGCTCTTTGAATGCGTGGTCAGGTTCGGGTGTTATGTTTGATGTACAATAATATTCACTGTGTGCTTTACAGTTACAGGTACCTTGCACATGGTGCATCTGCAAGGAAGCAGCATTTTGAATTTCCGATTGGAAAGTCAACAGTCCACAAGGTCATACATGAAACATGTGTATGGCCTTTCGTCTGGCACTGGAAGAATCTGTACTCAAGACTCCAGGAAAGGCCGAATGGAAGGAAATCTCCAACAAATTCATGGAGATTTGGCAGTTTCCAAACTGTTTAGGAGCTGTAGGTGGGAAGCACATGAGAATCCAGGCGCCTCCCGAAAGTGGCGCCCAGTTTCATAACTACAAGTCTTTTTTTAGCATGGTCCTTATGGCAACGTGCGATGCTCAGTACAAATTTACAACAATTGACATTGGGCAATACGGTTAGTACACTTTTTGTTCTGTGCCGTATGGAAAATGGTTTGTGTGAGCTAATATTAAATGATGTTGCACAGGTTCCTTAAGCGATGGAGGAGTGTGGGGGAATTCAGATTTTTCCTTGGACCGCAATAATGGTGAACTGGACTTACCGGATCCTAGCCCCTTCCCGCAAACAGACATCCTATTCCCTTAGGTGTTTGTTGGCGAGGCGTTTTCTCTAGGCCGACATATGATGCGTCCATATCCAAGGAGATCACTTCAAACTGATGAGCACCGTATTTTTAATTACCGATTGTCTCGAGCAAGACGCACCATTGAAAATGCATTTGGCATTTTGTGTTCAAGGTGGCAAATTTTGCACCAGCCTCTGAGGATGAGTCCAACAAATGCACAGAACCTTTTTGCTGCATTGTGCGTACTCCACCATTTCATCATGGTTGGTGAGGAGATGAAAGCCCCTCAAGACCATCAGTATGTGCCTCCAAATTTCCTTGACAGAGAGTTACAAGATGGAACAGTGGATTAAGCAGAGTGGAGGCAGTATACTTCATAGTATTTTCAGCAACTGGGGAGAATTGGGGGAAACCGTGCATGTCGCCGCGGTTCCCATGGTCGTGACCCCGGCTAGCAGACTGCAGGCCCGGGCGCCAGTGCCCCGCCATAAGAGAGCCGCCACAACGGCTGAAATAGGAGACAGAAGGGTCATGGAAATTGAGCCCTACCGCGCAGCGAAGAATGCAGGGCTCAAACATAATGGATGACGTTCTGGTCCGACAGGGAGAAGTGACCCAGCTAGAAAACGCGAGGTGGCTCGACTTCCTCTGGCTGGCCAAACATGCACAACAAGCGTCGTACCATAGGTGGAATGGGTGTATGACATTTGCTCATGCGAACGAGCCGAAGCATGACGTGTCGGCGTTTCTACCCCTTCCGTTCATTCTCATGCCGGTGTCCGAACCCTCTACGCTGTATACTGCCCTTCGGTACGCCAGGAAGAGGTGTGGGGACGACTACAAACAAAAGACCTGCGTTGTGACCCTTGACCTGCCACTCTTTCTTAAGGCCATGGATATAGTGAACGGCTCTGCGGCAAGCTGCCGTTTGTCGTTGTCCGCTTGGGCGGCTTCCACCTGCTCATGTCCTTCATGGGGGCGGTCGGGGCGCTCATGGGCGGCAGCGGCCTGGCCGACCTGTGGAAGGAAGTGTATGCCAAAAACAGTGCGGACGCCATGGCGGGCGGCCACGCTTACAAGAGAGCACTGCTAGCTCACTTCCTCACACAGGCAGCAATTGCATCCCTCGTGCTGGAGAAAATACTGGCGGGTTAGCAAACTTACTCTGCAATACTTTGATGAGAGTCTTCGGTCTAGGTTTTAGTGCAACTTTTATAACAGTTTTCTGTGCTTGTGTGTGTCTAGGATATGGAGGAAATTTTCGGCAAGGATGGGTGGGCTGAGCCACTGGCATTAGCAAGCGAGCAGGGAGTGTCAACGGTAGCATCCAGCTCAAAAGAGAATAACACTCCACCAAGGAAGAGGAAGGTGGCGGTTTTGGAGAAGTATTCAGAGGAAAATGCCAAAGAAAAGAAGATCAAAGTAGCAGAGAAGAGAGACCAAAGGGAGAGAATCCTCTTAGAAATAAAAACACTCCGTGAAGAGAAGCAGCGCCAACATGAGGAGAAGAGGGCGCTGCTTAAAAGTTTTCTTAATAAGCAATTGTAATGTCATCAGGCTATGTAACGTAACTCAGTCTCTGAGTTAACACACACTGACCTACCTGACAACTTCTCACGAGCAAGACACAATTGTTTACTGTGGAGTCAGGTAGGGTACAGTGATAGTAACTCAGAGACTGAATATTGTGATATTTTGTGATGTTCTGGTTGTAGAATTAAGGTAACTGTTTAATTGTAATTTTTTGATTTGTTTGTGTTAAGTTTGTAACGTTTAATATCTTTCTAGTAAGCAGTCATCAGGTTATGGCCAGGTAGGTCATACTGACCTACCTGACAACTGCTCACTAGAAAGAAAGTCGATTACAGTAGAGTCAGGTAGGGTAATATGATAGTAACGAAGAGACTGAATTATGTAATGTGATTACTAACAGTACAATTAATTTTTACATTTATGGAGCTTGAATTTTATTTCCTATTTCATGCAAGTGGTTTGCAAGTGTCTGGGTAAAAAATAAAAGTATAATTTCTCAACGGTTCTTTTTTGCATTTTTTTAGCGTGCAGCCCGGGAACTTGAAGGAAAGGCCCGCAACGTCATGAGCAAAACCAAGGAAGCACTTGGCTGGGCCAACACTCACCACTTCCCGAGGCACATCCCGAATGGTGCAGCCCCTGATGATTCAGAAGATTTAGGTGGGTCCTGGTACCTGTGTCGCACCCAGGACTGGTATGTGCACTTCATCGCGCACGTCTCCACCTTTTGTTATTCCGACTGTTGCCTGGATAGGTCTGGACTCACTATTGCTGGTGGGCCATTCGGACTAGGAGAAGGTGTGAGATGCTCGCGGTTCTAGTTCGCCATGCTGGTCCCGGGTGTCACTGTACAAGTAATTACTGTTACATTTTGTGCTTACTACTTGACATAATTTCATAGTTTAAAGTAGAAGCGCCTACAGCCTGGTAATGGCACATCATGCATACTTTAGGTAAATACCTGACTATTTTCTATTTAGCAAAATAGTCGAGTATTTACTGAAGGTATGCATGCGACAGCTTCACACATATCTGTAAGCGCTTTCACTCTAAATTATGGAATTCGATGAAGTTGTGATCACAACATGTAACAGTACCAGTGACGTAGTATTTAATGTTTGACATTGCAGCTCTGTCTGTCAGTGGTAGTGATATCTGAAGTGTTCCTCAGTAATGTAGTCTGCTGATGCAGTAGTAGTCTATATTTATTTGCATATTTATTGCAATGTGCCATTTTCTGTGATTGACATTGACGTAATTTTTGTACCTGATATCTGCATGTTAGTTTCAATTACTTTACTGTTTTTTTTTCTAACACAAATATTTTATTCATTGCATGCCTGTCTCATCCCCGTTTTTTCAGTATGTTATCAATTTTGTAGTCTGTTCCATTAGTTTCCTGTATTTTTTTTTTAAACATCTCAATTACTGCATTCCATTACCATATTCCATTTTTTTTTACAGTAAACCTTTAAAGTATTGCATTCCTATCACTTTTTAATATGTAGTTCTGTTAAGCAACTGTGATTTCCATATTCCATACCATTAGTTATCTTAATTTTTGTTTTCTAATCATTTGCCATCTGAATTTTTTATAAATATTTTATTCATTGCATGCCTGTCACATCCCCGTTTTTTCTGTAGCTTATCAATTTTGTCAATCATTATTTTTATTCAGCTTGCTTTGGGCTCTCCCACCTAATTTAATTTAATAATTCTGATCTCATAAATGTGTTGGAATGACATCCATGTGTTTTCTTTTTTGACAGCCCCTCACAGACTGTCTCTACTGGAGGACCATAAATCTCAAGGAGAAAAATGTTGTTAGAACTGAATCTCCAGTTGTCTGAGAGGCATAAAGGTGTGGGAAATCCACTGGTCAGTTACATTTAGGGGTCAAATCAACCGTTCAGACAGTGTAAGGGGCTGAAAAAGTATGAAATAATGGCAAATCTCACTTTACCCCCCCCCCCTTAAGCAGAAGGGTTCACTTTGTTCAAACCATGTCAATGCAGGAAAAAGTAATGAGTGCGATTGAGAAGAGAAAAAGTGAGCGAGGACCTCGCGATCCGTGGACTTGTGATGTGCAAAATCGAGTCGCTTTCTTGGTTTCCAACTTTTGCGCAGCAGAATCCAAGTATCACGGTCAATGTCATCTGTTTTTCACATCGGGCACCGACGGCACCGACATGGTCAATCCGAAGGGTCGCCCCTTAAAAGCTACTTCCTACAGTCGTGTTGTTATGGCCCCGCTCTAGGTGAGCTCGGGAGTAAGGTCGAGCTCAATGAGAAAAACCCACCCGAACCACAGCACCCGCCTGGGCCACCTGCCGCTCCGGTTGTCTTCCCCCTGCCCGGGGAATCGGAAGACGACTGGCGCCACCGCGCTGTGTATCGCGCGCCCATCTCGTTCTCCCACCCTGTGCGACGCTGTCACTTCTGTCGCTGTGCCGGCCACGACAAACAACAGTGTTATCCTACGCGCCCGCACGCGCCGGCGCCGCCCCAATAACGACCAGCAAGTGCCCCCCTAATCCTGCGGGCCCGCGCGGACCTGCGAGGACCAGCATCGGGGAGCACCAGGTGGTGGACGCCGCCGCGGCACCCTCACGGCTGCCTTCACCGGCCCCGTCCTCAGCGTCGTCCACGTCCCTGGATCACCAATAGTATTAGTCGAGGTGCCTTAGGTTAGGTAGGGCCTTATATAATCCTTGCCCTGTTTTCTTGAATAAATATCTTATTTTCTGAGCAATCATATCTGTGTGCTTCCCGACTACTCACTAGAAGATTCGCCCGTAGACTGATTGACAGTCATAACACTCCTTCACCTTCAGCTACATTGAGCCCACCCCGCTCATTAACCAGGACCCAACCGACCCCGAGCCTCTGTATGTACGCGGCTCTCATGTACGCTTATGGTGAGCGCACTCGACGAAAGCAAAAGTGGTGCTTTACGACATTCGACAACGGGCTGTTCCCCAAGGTAGTGCAGATTGTGGCATCACATTTAGAGTTGACGCAGAAGGTGGTCGTGCGGTTGGGCGGGTTCCACTCCCTCATGAGCTTCATGGGCGCGATCGGATACGCCAAGTCGAGCAGCGGGCTTGACGACTTGTGGGATGATGTCCGGCAAAGATTTTGCCCGGGCCGTGGGCGCGCTGCTCCAGCCTGGGCAACAACGAGAAGACCGAGCTGTGCGCTCTCCTTCTATGCTGCCTTCCTGGCCGGCGAAAAGACTTCAGTTGGAGGCGGACTTACCTCGACCAGCGAGACGGGCCGGCTCTGGTGGCAGTACACTGCCCTTACTGTTATTTTATA